CGGGGTTATTCGGTGGAGCGAGGAAGGAGGTGGGATCGAATGCAAGGAAGCCGAGCAGGAGACGCGAGTTGAGCGAGACGAGGGAGTCGGGATCGATAGAGGAAGAGGGAGGCCGACCTGTCTCGAGCACGAGGCAGGGAAAGATATACGAGTTTTCGGTGCAGAGCGGAAGAAGAGAGGAGCCATACAGGAGAGCCGATGCCAGGAGCTAAGCGGGATTGTATAGGCAAGGTGAATGTTACGGGAGATTAGGCGGGGAATTAAATAAATTTCATTCAGGTAGCTGGGTTCAAATGAAAAATTTTAACTCTCAATTAAGATAAAATTAAATGACGAATTTGAAATTAAAAAATTTAAAATTCAAAATCGTTTAACTCTTGTTCAGCCCAAATCGAACCTGAGTTGAACCTGGGTTGAGTCCGGGCCCGTGCCCCGCTATCGTGCATCAATTTTCGTGTTAGGAGCTCGCGCGTGAAACCATAACAATACGGGTGTCCTTCCTAGCTAAAGTTGACATTCCGGACGCGTTGGTGCGGTCCGTTTCGTCATCCAGGGTCGTCCGGACGAGTTCGCTGATGGGCGAGTCGAATCAAGTCAAAGTCGTATGTGGTGCAGTGAGTGCATGAATTGCGACGTTCACGAGTAATCGAGTCACAAAGGGTTCACCTAAAGTTGTTTGATCATATAGAAACTCATTTATAGAAACTCATTTTTGGGCCTTCTACATGTTGATCCTTAGCCCTTACAACTAGAAGTATATAGAAACTCATTTTTGGGCCCTCTACATGTTGATCCTTAGCCCTTACAACTAGACGTTGAGTGCTTGGAACCTTGAAGTTCTACGGGAGGTAGGCTTCATTGCTAGTCCGCTAGGATGGTCAATAAGAACTCCTAAAGCTAGATCCTAGGTTCTAAGAGTAGGAGACTAAGACTTCACTAAAAAATGAGGTCAACATACACTACCTCTTTTGACCACCTACAACCCTTTCCACTTGCTGTCTCTATAGTTTCATACATTCCCTTTGCTACCACCTGCCTCTCATAGCTGCCATCATCCCTATCCCTCTAGCTGACCTCCACCACCCATTGGGATACATTTACGAGTGTCGTCTTTATGTTTTGTGTTGTTATTTCCTTTCGAGACATGTTGTAACCCTATTTTAATATTAATGAAATTTGCTTTAGTGTTTCTACTATTATTCCTACTAGTTTCGGTATCATTTCATTATTTTTTTTTTGTTTGGATTTTTTAAATATATTATTTATCTAATGAGCTTCTTGATAACTTTCAAAATCATGGTGTTTGTGTTGTTAGAAAACTAAAAAAGTTGACCGGGAAAAAGTAACACACAAGCATACAAAAGAGCTCAATGTGATTTAGCAATTTGCTTTACATCCATTGGAGGCAGTAAACTCATTATAAATTTATAAATAAAAAACACTTAAAATCTCTCAGTGCCCTGACACATGCATATACTATTATAAGCTCAGGAGTTGCATGTGGAATGCTTCATAAGTGAGAATTACATTCGTTTAAATAATGAAAATGTCTTCTTCAAATATTATTAATCACTACTATTGAAGTTTTTTGTCACCTCTATTATGGACTTTTATGTTAGCCTCCATTTAAAACTCTACAATAATTTTTATTTAGGACTTTCATGATATTGAAATGATCCACTATTTTCAACAGTATGGCTTACTAAAATAGTTCCATCTTTTGGTTTGAACTATTGGCATTGGTTTTTGTGCACAGTGTGAAAAACTACACATTGCAAAAATTAGTAAGTAGGATAAAGTTTTTAATTGCAATACATTTAACGTGCTATGCATTTTCATTTATTGTCATTTCATCTACTAATGTTCGTACTTATCCTTATGAATTCTTTGTTTTTAGGTTTGCATTGCTTAATTTGTACTCATTTTTGAAAGTGCATGTTATTTCTGATCATATATTTTATGATTTTTCCAATATTTTTTTCCTTTTAGGTCTACTGGAAGAACTAGAGCAACTTCTGGAGGGTATTGCTGTGATGAAAGAGTTGACAATTCGTACAAGGGACTATTTAATGTCATTTGGAGAATGCATGTCCACAAGAATTTTCACAGAATATCTTAACAAAATTGGTTTCAAGGCACGACAGGTAGCCTTGCAAAAGATTTTCTCCACCTATGCAAGTCTATTTTACATGTAGCAATACTGACTAATATTAGTCTAGTTTATCTATTTATCCTATTCCCCAACTTCATGAAGACAAGTTTTTTTATTGCTCTAAGCTTCCACTTCAAAAAAGTGTCTCTTATCAAAATTGACTTAGATATATTTATCTTTATCTTTGTAGCCAAATAAAAAAGTTAGTGATTTGTGAGGATATCTCCATCAACTAAGGTCCAACCCAAGACATGTATTTTTTCGAGAATTGATTGATAAAGCAAGGTTGAATCTTTATAAGTATTCACTCCTCATGTTTAATTGATTAGGGAAGAAAAATTTCTACATTTGTACGTAACGATTAGAAAGTAGTTTTATAATTTATGTTCTTCCAATGGATCAAGGAGTATTAAGTTATTGATTTGAAGGGTTTCATGGAGTAGTTTCTAGAAATAGAATGATCGATTCCCCTTGGTGCTTTCAAGATCTAGTTCACTGACTCATCAAAGATAAGCTTGGTCATAAATAAGTCAAATTGCTTTTGTTTCAAAAAATTGAAGTATTTGAGACTTTGTGAACTTGGGCTTACTTTACACTAATAGCAATGAATGTTCTTTGTTGATATAGTCTTAGAGTGATCCAGAACCTTTAGCTAGTTCCCATATATTCTATCATTTTTTCTTTTGCAATGCATATTTTTAATACCTTCAACATTTTTTTGTCATATTTTTTTCTTAATTGCCATCATATTAATCTTTGTCGAGGTTGATAATATTTTTTTATACGATCAAAAAACCATTTGATGATCATGGTTTTCTTTCATACAATGCCTTAATGCAAAAGTAGCTTTTATATTGGATCTTTTTCTCTTATTAAACTGAGTTGTAATTCTGAGGTTTTTTTTCTAATGCTATGCTCCATTACCTTATCCATAACTACATTATGGATCAATATAATTGATATTACTATAGTTATCATAACTTTCAATATTCTATTTGCTTTCAAATGCTGACACCAAAATTCTCATTTTTCAATCATTTGACTTTTGCAATTCATGAAAATAAACACCAAGTTAAAATTAAATTTTATGATATTATGAATTTTGATTATTTTTACTTGGATTCTGATATTTCATGATATGAAGAATAGTAGCTTCAGTAATTTTCTGAGGTGTAATGAAATGGATGAATAGGAATGACTCGTAGGGATGAGTTAAATATCATTTTTTCTAATCTTTTTAAACTGAATATGGTTGACCTAACTGGAATTTTAGCCCCGCACTTCATTTTTATATTTTATGATTTTGATACATAAAAGGAGCATTTACATCCATACCACCAAATTCCTAAGTATTTATATATCTAACACCTAAACTTTGCTTTTCTCTCTTTTTTTTTTTTTTTACATTTATATCACTCAAATCTTCATATCACATTAAAAATACCACTATTTTAATTTAGAAATACAGCTTTTCAAGCATAGGTGAGGTGAAGTAAAAATAAAAATTGAAGTTTGGGTGTTAGATAAGTAAATACATAGGAATTGAGCGTTGTATATGTAAAACTTCCTCAACTATTCTCATTTCTCTTTCTGTTCATTAACTCGGTCATTGGATGTGACGTGATGTCTAACATTATGATTGGCCTCTTGCAGTATGATGCATTTGATATTGGTTTCATGACTACAGACGATTTCACAAATGCAGACATCCTGGAAGCAACATATCCTACTATTGCAAGGTCATTGCGTGAAGATTGGTCGAATAGTCGCGCAATCCCTATTATCACTGGTTTTCTTGGAAAGGTTCATACATTCCAGCAAGCTAACATCATTGATTCCAATCTTGAAAGATTTACATGCAAACCACTTAATTCTGTGAACATATCTAATGCCTCAATCATAATTTTTAAATACATAGATGTATTTTACTATTTAAGAGTTAAAATGATGTATTTTTTATGTGATATGAAAGATTTGAAGTGTCAAAATAGTCCCATGACTATTTACATAGGGTCATTTTAGTTCAAGAGTCTATAAAAGTGTCAAATTAGTCCTCTGACATTTTTAATATGTGCTAAAATAGTTCTCTGACAGGATTATTTTAGGCCCAATTAAAAGAGTTTTTGATATTTTTATAGACACTGGATCATTTTGACACTTTTCTCGAAAGATTTGGGTGTTATACTTGTAAAAAGCAAAATTCAGGTGTTAGATATGTAGATACATGAGAATTGGGTGGTATGCTTGTAAATGCCCCATGAATCCTTTTCATCGTTGGAAGTTTTATGTGATTTTGCTTTGCAGAGTTGCAAGTCCTGTGCTGTGACTACATTAGGAAGGGGTGGTAGTGACCTGACGGCCACTAGTATTGGTAAAGCACTTTGTTTGAAAGAAATCCGAGTAAGCTTCAGACAGTGCTAGTAACGCTTATTTATTTACATTTCTCACTCCTAAACATTCATATTTGCACATATGGCACTCAAATCTTTAATATCACATAAAAATTAGCACTATTATCATTTTTTAGAAGTCAAATCCACATTTTCATGCATAGGTTTAGATCACCAAAGTTACTATGTATGTAATATGAAAACTTAGGCGTGAGATCTGTGAATACGCAAAATTTGTGTGCAACCTATGTAAGGTTCCCTCTTTTTCTTTTTTGGCTTGCAACAACATCAACTGTGAATGGAATGAATATCGCAGTTCTAATTAAACTTTATTTATGCTAGAGTAACCTATTATCCTTTTGACTTGGAAATCATGTCTTTAAATTTACAGGTTTGGAAAGATGTCGATGGCGTCCTGACATGTGATCCAAATATTCATCCTCAAGCACAGCCTGTGCCGTATTTGACATTTGAAGAGGCTGCTGAACTAGCATATTTAGGAGCTCCGGTATGCTTGATGATGCTACATCACTATTTTCTTTGCTATTTTCGAAGAAATGATTACTTCGGTAAAAAGTATATTTCCTTCATTCATGAATTGGGCTTCTATAGAGCCTTACAAATTTTTTACAAATAACCCCTAGACTTCTTCTATATTTCCTATCTACAATTATACCCCTCAAAATAAGATATAAATCTCAAGATGGGCAAAAAATATCCACTAAGCCCATCTTGTCACATAATCTAGACAAATCTAACGAACTAAGTCCTTTAGTGAGGCAGCCAGCCATTTGCTCTCCAGTGGCTACATGACTTAGCTCCAATAGCCCGTTATTCGGCTTTTCCTTGATGAAAAATTTATAAATCTCTGCATGTTTGATTCTATCGTTGTGAATCAGGTTGTTGACAATGTTGATTGTTGACTTGTTGTCACACAACTTCATTTGAGTTCCTTGATCCACCTTGACTTAGACCAACAAGGCTCTCAGTCACATCATCTCGGCAACTCCTAAGGCCATGAACTTGTACTCTGCCTCTGTTGTTGGCCTCACTACTATAGATTATTTCTTGCTCTTCCTAGAGACCAAGCTGCCACCTACGAATATACAATATCCTGAGGTGGATATTATGTCATATACACAATCACCCAATCAACATCATAATAGCCCTCAATGTTTACGTGTTTGTTCTTCCTGAATATCAGCCCTTCCCAGGTATACTCTTCATACACCTTAGAATCTGATACACCGTGTTCATATCACCTTTCCTTGGATCATGCATATAGCGGCTCACCACGCTCACTGCATATGAGATGTCGGGATGTGTGTCACTCAGATAGATTAGATGACCCGCCAATGTTTGGTATCTCTCACGATTAATTGGCTCTCCTGCCTTTGCATTCAACTTGGTCTTTTGATCAATTGGAGAGACTGCAGGCTTGCATCCCATCATGCATATTTTTGTGAGGAGATATAATACATACTTTCTCTGAGATAAAATCATCCCTTCTAGTCCACGAGTCATCTCAATCCCAAAGAAGTATCTGAGTTGTCCAAGGTCCTTCACTTCAAAATTTTTGCCCAATCTAGTCTTTGGTTGAACAATCTCTGTCTCATCATCACCAGTGATAATCATACTATCAACATACACAACGAACATAGTAATGTGACTACTATTTTGACGAAGTAACATTGTATGGTAAGCATTGATTTGCTAATATCTCATATCCACCATAGATTTTTTTTAACTTGTCTAACCAGGCTCGAGAAGATTGCTTCAAGCCATAAAATGACTTTCTAAGCCTGCACTCATTGCCCATTGTCTGACCTATACCGAATCTTGGTGTTATATCCATATACATCTCCAATAACTCCCCAAGAAGAAAAAAATTCGTCACATTGAGTTGGTGTAACATCAACTTACCATTCATAGCCAGAGAAACTGATTTCTTCACTGTGCTCATCTTTGCTACCGATGCAAAAGTCTCGTCATAGTCAATGTCATATGTCTGATTGTAACCTTTCACCACTAATCGTGCCTTGTAACACTCCACTTTCCCTTCTGGATTTTTTCTTACTGTGAAGATCCACTTGCACCAAACCACTCCTTTCCCCATTGATAATAGTACTATCTCTCAGGTCCTATTCTTATAGAGAGCACCAAGTTCCTCGAGCATGACAGTCTTTTACTTTGGATCTTTCTTAGCTACCGGCCAACACTTGAGTATAGAGACAATGTCTAAAGCTGCAATGAATGCTCCATGAACAGATGATATGTTAGAATATGAAACAAACTGAGCAATGTCATGTGAGAAACCAACAAAATAATGATCATAAAAATGACCTGCATTGTTGCGAGAGATCCTCCTTAAAGTCATGGGAGTGGGAGGAGAGGAGAGAGAAATCATATCATCTGGGTAATTAGATTATGAAGTGGAAGGTGTAGGGTCTTAGAGGAGTTGAGGTAGAACAGAACTAGGGATTTGATGGCAAAAGTTGCACGGTAAGAACTGTTCTCAGACTTGATGACACTAGTGGGACGATAGATAGTGTTCACTCATTCTGTCTTTTCCTTTTTGTATACACTCTCAACTCTCTTTGAGTTTTATCCCTCCACCTTCAGGCTCATTTTCCTCATTTTTTGGCTTTTCTTCAGCTGATTTTTCCCACATAGCGGGAAAAGACATCGTTCTCACATGCACCAATCTCCGACCATCACTACTCTCCCTCTCACGCCTCATATCTCCTGTATCTGATGAGTCACCAAAGGGTGATATCATCTCTAGAGTATGGTACGATTCGAACTATCTAAAAAACACATCCATGCTTACAAACAGTCTCTCCTCTCTATCAAAGTCCAACAAATATATCCCTTTTTGGTAGCAAAATACCCCATGAAAACACGCTTCACAGTTCTAGGATCCAGTTTCATACCGATGGTCTGTTGTCCTTCAAAAAACATACACAATCAAAAACTTTTAATGGGAGGATTCCATTATTATCTCATTTCAACATCTGATGAGAAAACTTCTAATCCAACACTCTCGAGGTCATTTTGTTGATCAATTGAGTCACTGCCAAAACTGCATATCCTCACAAGTGTTTTGGGACATTCATCGTGATCATCATTCTTCGAGCTGCCTCTAGAAGATGTCCATTTTTCCTCTTAGCTACTCTAAGATTTGATGTTGTATCCCTTGAGCTGACAAATATTCCCCAAACATTTTGTTGGTATACTACGTCTTATTATCAGACCTCAATATCTTCACTATTGTATCGTATTAAGTCTGAATCGCCTTGTGAAAGTCTTTAAAGTAGGCAAACGCATTACTTTTATTTCTCATCAGATATAACCAAATAACACGAGAAAAATAATCGATGAAAGACATAAATATTTGTAACCATCCATATAAGTTGTAGAATAAGGTTCTCATATATCTGAGTGCACCAAATCAAAAACATAAGAATTCCTTTTATCGGAACTAACATAAGAGCTTTTGGTATGCTTATCAAACTCACAGACATCTCACACAAGTTTCTATTTATTTGTCTTTTCATATAAGGATGGATACAAATGTTTCAATAGATTAAATGAAGAGTATCACATGCACCTGTGATGTAGTAGCAAAATATTCTCCACACTTCTCTCAAATCCTCCTGTTTAAGCATTCTAAATCATGGATGTCAAGGTTGAGTTCATCCCCTCTTTATCCAAGTATCAGAGTCCACTATGTCACGTGTCAGTCCTTCTCTCTTCAAAAATGACCTTTGGAATATCAAATGAAATGACACATTCTAATTTGGAGTATAATGACGCTAATAGATAAAAAATTTACTGGAAAGGAAGAAACATGCAAAACATTAAACAAATTCATAGAATTGGTACACCTCACTGTATCCTTAACAATCACAGGTTGTGTTGTACTATCAGCGGTCTGAATGATCCTTGAAACTGTTAGGTGAGTATAAGAAGAGAACTCACTTGCTATACTTGTCACATGTCGAAATGCATCATAAAATACTTTTCATTATGGTGATCTTGTGGTGGATATAGAGGCAAGAGCATGTGTATCACGAGTACCTTTGGCTGAATAAGCATAACTAGTAGTGGTCTCCTTGGACGACGATAGGGTGATGCATCCTCAGTCAATTACTTGTCGCTCTCTGTTTTCTTTTCAACATTTTCAGTAACTCGTGATCATTAGACTATTCATGTCTTTTCCTCATTCTTTGCTACCATCAGATTTGTTCAGTAACCTCCTTTTTCACCTCTGACAGTTCTAGAACGATAAGAGAATTTTCCTCCAACTGCTTCGCTAGACGAGTGGCCATCACCACTATAACTGTAGTCTGAATCATCCGTTCTTTATTGTGCATCTCCTTGATTACATCCTCCGTTACACGTCCTTCAGCAAAAGTCACAAATCCAAATCCACAAGACCTCTCTATATATCTTTCAACCATAATTTATGAGTCCAGAACCTTGCCCAATCAGCTAAACGCAGCACCTAGCTCCCGTTTCGTGATTTCCCATGACAAACCTCCAACAAAGATCCGCGCCCTCTCCTCTGAGAAACGAAGTGCGACGGTTGCGACCAGAGACTTCCAGAGGAGAGGTCGTCTCCGTTAGGTGAGCCTAGAAGTGAAACCCTGCTCTTCGCTCACCTTCACGTTCTCCTTCCCCAGCTAGCGCTGCTGTATCACGAGAGCCGCAACAGTATCGCAAGTGTCACACCACCATCCCGCCCCTGCCTTCTCAGTCAGCTCTAATCGGGACTGAATCGCGACAGTGAAGCAGAAGGAATAGGAAAATGCGAGTTTTGGGTCTCTGTACCTAACGAAATGCGGGTTCCGATCTCTGTACCTCGCGATCTCATCACTGGATCCCGTCGTTGGACTTTCACACTGCCATGCCGTCAAAATATTATATCAAATTCGGAGTTCAATGATGGAGTGTGATTCATCGTTTTTAACATTGGCCGATCCTTCCCGCCGTTGGTCTTTCCTGCATTTGCCGCTCTAGTCTCCAAAATGACTCGTTCAGGTCCGATCGAGCAGCAAAGGTGATGTTAGGGCCTTGGTAAAAACTTGTCCATTCATTCATCAAAAAGGCTTCCATAGAGCTTTATAAATTTTTTACAAATAACCCCAAAAATTCTACTATTTCTATTTACAATTAATTTCCTCCAAATAAGATATAAATCTCAATAATTTTCATTCCATCTTTTTTAATATTTACTTATGTAATATTTTAGTACCGTAGTCTCATCGGAATATATGCATGAAAATCACTAGGAGGGAGGGGTAGAGGAAGTGAGGAGTGAGAGATGTAGATAGAAAGAGAGTTGTGTTATGAAATTTAGAGCAAAAACAACGCAAGAATTGACACAAATTCAGGAGAAAAACATAGAGATTTAACAAGGTTCGGCAAAAATGACTACATCCTCGGGAGCAGAGCGGCGAATTCACTATTTTCAGATGAGTTACATACCCATAGGGCACACATAAATTTACAAACACGTCATCGCTCCCCCAACCCACTAATCCAAAAGACACACATCTTCAAACCAAGAGACACACATCTTCATTTCAGGAGACACACCTCTCCAAATCCAGGAGACTCCAAATTCCTGGTATATGAGTCATACCTAACAATTCTCCACCTTGACAAATATCCAGTCCCTTGGAAGAAAATATTCACAATTGCGAATATCCAACCCTTTAGGAGAAATACATCATGGAGTTTCTTACACCGAAGTAGGTTGAGCAACCATGCCAACTAGCAACTGCACATGCCACAACTCCATCTGCGACAAACTTGTGAATTTCGCTAGCCGAGCACCACCTGTCTCAACTGCATCTGCTGCAACTCTTTCTGCGACAAACTTGTGAACTCCGCTGGTCGAGTTGCACCTGTCGCAATTCCTCGTGCGACAAACTTGTGAACACCTATGGTCGAACACCACCTGTCGCAACTGCACCTACCGCAACTTTTCCTGCGACAAACTTGCGAACTCCGCTGGCCGAGCACCACCTGTCGCAACTGCACCCACGACAAACTTGCGAACAATCCACGAAATTCGTGAACTCCATCTCACCGAATGTCGTGAAAGTTTGTGAACTGTCGCGCTTCGAAGCCTCGACACCGCCTCTACCGCGAACTCCTCGAAACAGAACTCGTTGAACTGCCGTAGCCCTTTATTCAAACTGCTTCGCACATGTTCGTTCCCGCGAGCCCGTCTGCCTTACGAACAATCCGCAAAATTTGCGTACTAATCATGTTCGTCACTGAACTCCTCTCCTCTGCAAAACTGACGAACCCTGCTTGACTGCCTTTGCTCCCCCTCGCCGCAGTGCTCTCACGCGTCACTCCAGCAAAATAATTTGCTTCCAGGATCCTTTTTTCAGTCTCCAACACAGCACACGTTCCTCTAACAGAAGTGAAACATTCCTTTATTCCTTCCCTTCCTCCTAGAAAATTCAAAAGAATATTCATTTGGCGCAAATCAAAGATTCCTTGATCCCTTCCGGTCCGCCCAACACTGCGTTTGAACTGCCTCGCTGATTCGTGTTTGCAAAACCGCCTCCTCCGCAAGCGCTGGCGTCGCAGGCTCTTCTGAATCCTTTTCGCGAACTCCTTCTCCGCGATTCTCCAAAGCTTCGGCCTGTCTGCAGAATTGCCGAACAAGGCTTCGCGAACTGCACGATCTTCCTTCGAATCTCGCTTGCCCGATCGACCAACGATCTGGCCCAATCTTCCCCGCGAAAGATCTGCTTCGCCTGCCTTCGAACAATCCTCTTGTCGATCTCGCCTACAAAAGAACCTCTGAACTGCCACATGGAGTCCAAATTCGTTCTCCCATTCGCCTCTTTCCACGACTCGCAAACCGCAACCCTCAGCGAACTGCTTCTCGTCGCTGAATCCGAACTGCCGCGATTCGCCTCGTGATCGCTGAAAACTGCCGAAAACCGCTGAACTTTTTCCTTCTTCCTGCGTCGATCTCCTCTGCCCTAGAACCTAACCTCGCTCTGATACCAATTGTTGTGAAATTTAAGGCAAAAATAATGCAAGAATTGACACAAATTCAAAAGAAAAATACAGAGATTTAACGAGATTTGGCAAAGATGCCTACATCCTCGGGAGCAGAGCGGTGAATTCACTATTTCAGAAGAGTTACATACTCATAGGGTACACATTTATTTATTGATAAAACTCACAGATAAATTTACAAACACGCCCTCGCTCCCCCCAACCCACTAATCCAAGAGACACACCTCTTCATTCCAGGAGACACGCAGGAGACACGCCTCTCCAAATCAAGAGACTCCAAATTCCTGATATATGAGTCATACCTAACAAATTGGTATCTAACTTTTCATTTAATGTAATATGTATCAAGTTGATTTACAATTTGTTACGCCCGTTATCCATGGTTGTCATTATACTCGATCAAATTGGATTTTAGAGCAAACAGGGACGTTAAACATACTATGTCATTTTGTTTGATAGGGAAATAAATGGTGCCAACTTTTACATCCTAATAAAATGGTCACATACTCCTTTTGCAAGTGTAGGTTTTGCATCCCCAATCCATACGCCCTGCTAGAGAAAGTGATATACCAGTCAGAGTCAAGAACTCATACAATCCACAAGCTCCAGGTACCCTCATCACCAAAGAAAGAGATATGAGTGAGGTCTGTACAACATTTCTTTTGGTGTTTATTGACGAAGTAGCCTTTAAAAATTTCCCTGTTCCAAAATTTTCTTCATAATGTCAGGCTGTTTTAACAAGCATTGTTTTGAAGTCCAACATTACCGTGTTGGATATTGTAAGCACTCGATTGCTTGGCCAGTATGGTTTCCTAGCAAAGGTGCCATCGATTTCTCCATCAATTTTTTTCTTAAATATTTTTTTGCGTTCAGTTCAGTGATTCGATTCATCAAATTTTAACTCAATTGGTTGCATCAACAACTTTGTAATTTCTTTAAATCGAAATTGATAGATGATGGAAGATTTTCTGTCATGGAAAAATTATTGCATCAGGAGTCCTGATGAAGTTTTGCATCAAGATTCCAATCAAGGTCTGTCACGCTTAAAGGCAGACCCACCATGTATTAAATTGAGGGTCTGCATGTACACGTGATAGATCCTGATTGGAGTCCTGATACAATAATTGCTACTTGCCATGAGAGTATTTTTGAACTTTTTAGATTCAATCTCTCACCACTTAGTTGTAGCTTATGCTAATGAGATTGTCACTAAAAAATCTAAAATAAATGATAAATTAAGTTGGATCAAAATTAGTTCAAATTTAGCAAGTCCAACGGTCAAATTGAACAACTGAAAAAGCTTAAAATTAAAATGAACGTACCTAATCTAGAAACCATTTTGAACATTTAGTCATTATTCTCATAAATTTTCTAAAAATGCATTAAATCTTGACTGGTACGCAGGTCTTTTCCACATTTGAGGAGTGGGGCATTTCAGTTGATTGCGTGGCTACCAGTGAAGTCAGCATCTCTTTGACCTTAGATCCATCTAAACTGTGGAGCAGAGAATTAATTCAACGGGTAAGTTGATACGTCTCAGGCTTAACAACGGCGAAACGATGATAGATAGATGAAAATAAATTAAATAAGAGTTGTTCTTATGAAAAATACTTAACAACGGCGAAGGCTTAACAACGGCGAAACGACGATAAAAATAAATTAAATAAGAGTTGTTCTTATGAAAAATAAATAGAAACAAGCAAGATAAAATAATGTTCTACTTTTTGAGAGGTAGATCGGCTCTCTCACAACCTTAGACGTCGCCACGAAAGCCACCAAAAGAAGAAAACACAGCCGCCAACAAAACATGCATAAAAAAAGCAAACCCTAAGTTATTCCCCTTAATAGAATCTCCTCACACTACTTCAAAAACCTTCCTTCCCAACTTCTCTCTAAACTCATTTAATTTCTCCTCCTTGAATTTGTGATTAGTGGACCACACCCTCTCCTGATTTGCTTTTACGCCGTCTTGCCTGCTCCGCTTCTTCACACAGCAAAGACTGGCCCGCCTGTGGGCCGGTTGGTTGTTTAGGGCCGGTTTAGGGTGGACCGGTTCAATTTTGAGCATAACAGAAGACCGGCTCAATTTTGGGCATAAGATCAGTGCATGAGTTAGATTAGCGGTATCATTGATGTGATGCAAAATATTTGAGTGGTTTAAATGTAAAAAAAAAAAAAAAAAAGAAAGAAAAACAAGCCAGCCATACAAATCTATTAAATAAAACAAGAAAAAAGATATGTGAATGGATAAAAATTGGGTGGTATGTATGTAAATTCCCCTTCTGCTTATTAACTACATAATGCACGGTTGCTTTGCCTCGTGCGCAGGAGCTTCATCATATAGTTGAAGAGCTTGAGAAGATTGCGGTGGTTAACCTTCATCAGAATAGATCCATAATCTCTCTCATTGGAAATGTACAGCGTTCATCGTTGATTCTAGAAAAGGTCTCTCTCTCTCTCTCTCTCTCTCTCTCTCTCTCTTCCTCTCCCCCAACTTGTGGATTTTATTGTTCGCTGTCACCTCGTGAAAATCAAAGTGAGTTTTTGATATGGTCTGAATATAGGCGTTCAATGTTCTCCGCAAAATAGGAGTCAACGTCCAGATGATTTCTCAAGGCGCATCTAAGGTATTTAACTAGGCTTCTCTCTCTCTCTCTCTCTCTCTCTCTCTCTCTCTCTCTCTCTCTCTCTCTCTCTCTCTCTCTCTCTCTCTCTCTCTATATATATATATATTAAAAAAAGGAATGGTGCTATTATACGAGTTCCGGTCATCCCTCATGTGCCTAAGAATTTGAGCACCACATTCTATATTCGGGGGGAATCGAACCCCAGACCAGAGAGCACTTACAACAGACAAGCAAATGTCTGACCAACTGATCTGAGTGCGCGACGTATAAGGATTATTCCCTTCCAATATATACCACAATATAAATTTCAAATTCAATATCACATCATGATTGTGATTTATAACCCAAGAGTTTAAAGTGGATTTTCATCAATGTTTATGTTTGTTGATTATTCCTTAACCATTGGAGAAGCAAAAATAAGAAAGGGCATTTACATACGTTCCATTTCAATTCCTATACTTGCTCAAATCTAACACCTAAACTTTCATATTTACATGCATGAAATATCACTAGTAACAACTTTTGAAAATGCATATTTTCATGCATAAATTTATAATATCATGATCTTATAAATGTAAATATTAAACTTTAGGTATTAGATACATAAGTGCATAAAAATTGTGCCATACATCTTAATTTCCCAAAAAAAGAAATCATTTTACTTTTAAATTTTCTCTTAAAGTCTAGTTTTATCATGCATTTATCAATTAAAATTATTCATCATATATAATATATCTTTATCAACCATTTAATTGCGCTGCGCGCCGTGACTCTTTGGTTGGCAGCTACGTTGTCAGTTGTCAGACTTCTGAAGTCGCGGTTTCGAGTCCCCTTAAGTGTATCTGCTTGCAGTGCGGGATCGAGTGGTTAGACACATGAGGTTGATTGGGGGCTCGTATCATAGCCTCCGACCAATCTTTGAAATATATATATATACATATATTTTTTTCAAATGTTTGTGGATACAAGGAATGAGTCATGCATGGAATACTAATGGAGTAGTTACATTCAAATTATTTATGTAATAATTATGGATTAATCATCTTCAAAAATTTTCAAAATTTCTCTAAGAAGCTCCACATATTAAGTTTTCTTCCTATAAATAGTCTTATTTTATATGTCTCTTAGACGCCACCACTATTTATAGCTTAAGCTAGCTTAAGATACACAACACGACAATTCTATTTGAGAAATAAAAAGTACACTGTACATGGCATGAAACAAAATGCAAAAACAAGATAGTTGGATGTGTGGCCTACTTGTTTTGTCTGCCTACTTGTCGTCCCTTAGGCAAAGTCGATCTGATTTGTTGAGGAGAATTTATCACATGAATGATTGTATTTAACAGACTGAATTGGGTTGTTGAACTGCTTGTCTAAGTTGATAAGTCAAATCAACTAATCGAGTTGGCAGGTCCAAGTGGCTGTCCAAGCTGTTGATCGAATTGCCTTAGTCGTACTGTAGCACTATCATCGTGCAGTTAAACAAGCTGCTTAAATTCACTAGCTGACTCGTTAATTAACTCGAACCTTCTCAAAAGTATATAGAGAAAAAATAAATTTTATTTTCAAGTTGTATCTTTAAAATTAACAGTCGAAATTATCCCTCCTAAATTTATACAAGTAGTACTTATATGCAATATGCAATGATAAAAATAATTTACTTTGCAAAAATAATTTCTCATTTGAATAAGGATTATGATCAAATTTGAAAATGTGTATCCTTCTTTGAAAGTTAACTGATGATATTTTTATGTGATATGAAATATTTTGGACGGTATAAATGTAAAAAATAAAGTTACAGTTCGGTATTTTTTTACTTGTACGATTTTCTTTTGAGCATCAAAGCGAAGAATACCGAAGTGTTCAAGGAACAATCACTTTTAGGCCTTGTTTGGGGGAATAGAGTTAAAATAAACAACTATATGAAATGATATTTGTAAAATATAATATTATTGTTAAAAAAAATTGTGTTTTTTTAATATTATTATATATATTTATTATAAATTATTTTATTAACTCTAATATTATTAAATTATAAACTCAATTCAAGGATAGAATCTGGCATTTCCTTCGAACTATATTTGTAAACCCAGTCGTGAAAACTATGAGCAGAAAAATTGAAGATGATGATTTTTTTTTATATATAAATTTTTTTATGAAGGGCAGGTGTGTAACAGTTGCGGTGATACAAATGGCAAAAAATATCGTTAGGAAAAAATATATCATGTTACATATCGTATGTCGTAAAAGGAAAAATATTTTGTCCGGACATCCGCACTTCCGGATGACCAGCAATCGGCGGCCACATTGCCTGTTGTTGATGTGTATGATGATGTGGCCGCTGGTTGTTAGCCGTTCGGATGTACGGTATCCGGACGGAATATTTTTCTCCAATAAATATCTGTTATCACTATAGGTTATAAGAGCAATTGAAAGCAAAATTGGTTTCACATAAACTAATAAATATTTTTAATAAAGATTTAAAAAATTGTAGCACACAATTATTAGCTCAAAATTATTTTATTATTTAATCTTTGATTAATATTTTTAATAATTATGTATGCATCACCCCGGAAACTTATTATTTACAAATCAACCACCATCTTCCATCCATTTTACAAATTCTCACTCAAATGTCAAAAAAAAAAAAAATTTTTTTAGTCCTTCGTCCTATATAATTTTTTTTTAAATTAAATGAGTAGAAATAATATTTTTTTAATTCAAATTTATTCAAAATAAAATTTAAAATTATCAAATGTATTTTAAAAAAATACAACACGTTAATAATTACTTAACATTATATTATATTAATCCTAAAATAAATTTCATAATTCTAAAATTTTGAGGTTTGTTTGGTGTAGTTTTTTAGTTGTGGCGCGACACCAAAACACTCAGGGTCTGTTTGGGGTAGTTGCAACTTATTGAATAATTTGTTTATTGAATAATATATATTTTTTTTTTGGAAAAACCAGATCGTTGTCAGAAAGTTGTCACTGCACCTAGATAGGTGCGGTGTGAAAACATTGTTTTATGCTTTTAAAAAAAAAACATAAGTTGTCAAAACGCAGTTTAACCTGTGTGAAAACATTGTTTTATGCTTTTAAAAAAAAACATAAGTTGTCAAAACGCAGTTTAACCAAACATGTCAGGGGCATTTTCAAAATACCACCGCACCAAAAATAAGCTACCTCTAACGTAATCTTGTTTGGTTGTTTGTGTTTCACGAATTTTTATTCGGTACGTGCACCGCATGAACTGCCCCGCCTCCCAATTCGCCCAAGTAAAATGCCCAAGCCCTAGGTCATTTTCTCTCTCTTATTTTCGACGCACTTTGGTAGTTGCAACGAGAGCTCGCTTCGTGTTTTCTCTTTCTTTTCTTTCCTTCGTCATCCACTACCTTCCACCCTTTACCTTCTACTACATATGCTCTGTTTGAGTTGTGGTTCCATTGGCTTGCCAAACTTCGTGGTTTTCTACGATGGCTTTTGGTTTTTTAGCGTACATGCCTTCAAACTATCAATCTTCATATGAATAGCTTACAATTTTTATGTGGTTTATGTCCTTTGGGGTTTTTCTGTGATGGAGAAACTTGGAGTTCTGTGGTTTTTTCTGTGATGGGGAGCTTTGGAGAAATGCCTTTTTGAGAAGTTTGGAGAAATATGTAGAAATGTTCTTGGTGATGGTCTTGGATTATTGTTGTTATGGCCTTTGATTTCACTTTGATTGCCTCAAATTTATTATGTGGCTTCATACTCTTTGAGGTTCTTGTGTGTTGGATAAATTTGGAGTTAGATATCTGACCTGTGATGACTTTCAATTGAGAATTAATCATTAATGAACAGAAAAAGAATTGAGATTTGCGGTTTTTAT